TTTGCTAAGGTGCCGGGCTAACAACAATTTTTCGCCCCCCCCCCCCCGCACCTTTGGACCCGGGCAGGCAGGTTTAGGGGTACCCCCCCCCCCCCTGCCGCACCTTTTTAACCGGGGGCCCCCGGAAACAAGGGATTTTCAAAGGAGTAGGAAGGGAAACTTCGGGATTCCAAGGGGGGGGGGGCATTGTGGCCCCTCGCCCGACGGGGGCCCATGCATGGTCGGCATTGGGGGGGCCCAGGGCCTGTCCCCTGAAATCTTCAAAAATGGGAGGGGGGGGATTTTTTTCCCCCCCCCCCCCCCCTCCCCCCCCCGTCTGACCGATCAAACAAAACACGAAAACCCCTCACCTCGAAGACCGTCGTGAACGCGTGGAGCAGCGTGTCGAAGTTCGACCGCGGGACCTCGGCGTCGTAGTACCCTTCCTCCCCTATCCCGATGACCCTGCCGTCCTCCGCGAAGTGGAGGCGGTTCGCGAAGAACTGCACGCCGATGAGCACGTAGATGAACATAAACAGCAGGAGCAGCAGCGCGAAGTTGCCGATGTCGAGGAGCGTCTTCCGCAACGTTTCCAGCAGATCGCGCATTGAGCTCCACCCCCTGTAGGTGCGTGTGTGTTTGAGTATTTGCACGCGGGCGTTTGTGGGTGTTATGCTTGTCGTTTCGATTTTGCATCAACGGCGCTACATGGTGGGGGATTTAAATAAGGTCTCCGCCTGAAAGAAAAAAACGCTCGCACGGTCCTTGTTCCGCAGCCCCCCCTGACCGACCGACGGACGGGGGCGTGAAGGAGGCCGGAAACCCATGCTTGACGCGTGTGTCGTTTATTGCGGTTTCGAGATGAGGGCGTGAGGCCACAAAAAGGCGCGTTGGGTGCGGGAGGATCAGAATCTCACGACACTACATCGCTTTCGTTGAATAAGTGCATGTCAATAACTTTTCCTTCAGAAAACCGCGCCAGTTGAGGAAGAAGGCTCCACGTGTGCGTCTGCAAACGAAGAACACACTGGTAAATTCACCGTTGTTAGCTTAGTCCCGCGTTTATGTACTGGCCAGTCTGTAAGTTCTTAGGGTTGGTTTACATGACAACCCCCCCCCCCCCCCCCC